TACAATAGAAAAATTCCTTCATTATCCGGATAAGACTTGCTCAAGAATCGCTTATTACTCGGTCAATACTTGAACTTACATACTATGCTCCATATAATCCAATGTATGCTAAACTTATACTCTGTTGTCTATTCTAATGTCTACATTGTCATATATTATGTTATATATTTGATTGTATAATTATTTTATTTTGAAATTGTATGCTAGATTTGTATATTTTACTATATTACATTCATGTTCTATGTAGAATCTAGTCTTGTATTAACTACATATCCAAATCATATACAATCATACATCAGCTATATATATTATATTGACTACGTATCCAAATCATATACAATCATACATCAGCTATATATATTATATTGACTACGTATCCAAATCATATACAATCATACTTATTTTTGGTCTTGATTCAAGAATCTCTAATATTCTTATTTTTTATTCTCAAACACAAAGATTTATTATTTTTTAAGTAGCTTTTATAAAAATAAATAAATAAACTCCATATATTTTGGATATTTATAAAATCAACTCAATTATAAAAATTATTTTTAATTCAAAAAATATAAGGATCATCAAGAAAATTATTATAACAATTATTTTCTAAATGTAATATGATGTAATAAATATTTATTTATTTATTTATTTTAGTTTGAACTCTTTTGTATCATATTGTCTTTGTTAAAGGCCTTATTTCCTTGGACTATTTAGATCCATCAAATACAGTTTGTATTTAAAAAAGTGAAGTATGAAATGACCTCAGTACAAGAAAGTTGATATTATCCAACTTGATAGACAATTTTTTTTAATTGATAAATTTGGAGATTAGTATAACTTTAAAATGTATTGCGGTTTTACTTCTGAGTATTGTAACTCTAACATTGTATCGATTCCACATAACACTCAATCAAAGCAACTGGTGTAGCCCGTTTCATATAAAAATGAAAAACACAAAACAAACACGCACACGCACACACATTTAGCGACACAAGTGACATGGGTTGTGTGAAGTCGAGCTTCGAAACGATGTGACCCATTCCGCAACAGCCCTCGCCTCCGAATCCCGAGCTCGAATCTCATTTTTTGTCGCACGTTGCACTGTTGTCATCAATCCACGCAACAAAACACAAGCCAGCATTGAATTGCAACAGAATTCCAGGATAGCAGTGAAGATGCACAAACTCACAAAAGGAAGTGGAGTGATTGCAAAGGGAAATAATAGTGGCCCGCATGAGCTGGAGCTTTGCGGTTTTCTGTGCGATTCATAGACGGTTGCAACGACCCCCGACCTATGAGCATGATCCCATGATCCAGCGAGCTACTAAATTTGCCGAAAACTTGGCGCAAATCAGCAATAGCATGAATACCAGCAACAGTCACGCACCCTTTGGGGTCCGAAATTTAGTTGACCAGATGGCCACCGAGAAGTGGCCGAAGAGGGGCGAAACCAAAAGTGGAAATTTCAAACACTCGGCGACAGGACTTGAATGTGCAATGCAGTGGGTATCATGCCGTTTCACCATCCGTGCGGCTGAAATGTTCAAACCAGTTCAGAGCTCTGGGAATAGAGAGCTAGGGGGGACTTCCCGTAGCCTCATGACGAAGCGGCAGAAGAGCTTTCAACGTGGCCTGTAATTGGCAATTGGGCAAGGCACACATGTGGCCCTCAGCCATAAGGCTGTGAGGTCCGTCGGCCCAGATAGAAAACTGCATTCCACTGGGGTCTGGCATGGGGGTTGCCAGATTGGCTAGATCTGCTTGTGAGGTGAATTGGATTGTGGCATATTTGTAGGTTCTTGCTTCTTCAGGGAATTCTTCGTCCAGGAAAAGATGTTTAATCCAAGCAACTCCATCTCCGAGCGTGCAGAAGAGAGCGGCAATCTCAGTTTTCGATATTTAAATGGTTCTGTTTTTTCGTATTCTGTACGAAGAGAAAACTGCCTTAGAATCCTCCTAACCGCAATTTTTTTCTCACTCTGAAGACCTAAAACATTTTTTAGATGTTACTTTGCCTCAAGCCTCTCATTTTGTGATTGAGAGCGAGAGAATATACACTGAATGATGTCTTCAACAAATTTCGAGTAAAATAGTAAGTACAACCACGGTGAAACCCACAGCACCCTGCCAGCTAGGTTAAATGTTTCAAAGCTACTGAAATTTTAGAATAACGTGATTAGTGAGCAAGCATTAAATGTTGATGCGAACCCGCGAGGGAGCCAGCAAAGGTTGCCCGTTGACGAAATCCTGGTGGTGATCACCTCATCACTAAATCGTGAACAGGATCTTCTAGTGCAATTAAGTGATCACGGTACTTGCTAATATCATCTGTTCGTCAAGACCCAAGTGAACTGAGATGCGGATACATTTACACCTCAATGGAGGAATCGATTAAAGCGGAGAACATTCCGTTAGTTGGTTCGTATGAGAACTACGTCGTTTCTACTATCTCCAACATCTTGAACCATCCGTGTAAACTAGGCTAGGTTAATTGGTTGCCAGATTTGGTGTGTTGGACTTGATGGCGGAGGCGCACGATGAGAGGAATGGAGGTGGACTGGCTATTTGCGGTGGAGTGCTCCTCGCATTTCGACTTTCCAAGAAAAGTCATGTTTCATGTTGGGGAGGCTAATATTCCCCTGATGTTTCGTAGCTGGGAAAGGCCTGGTCTTCCTAGATAAATACGCATATGGCTGGCACGCTGCTCCTGGCGATGACCATGGCCGGGTTCGTTCCAATCCACGGCACGTAACTTTCCTGAATGGGACGGCAGCGAAAAGTAACGCGACGGCAATCAAAGTATATCTTGCGACTTGCCAGCCCTCAGTAAAAAAATGTCACTTCATGTTCTGATTCCGTTGCCACCCTTAAGAGACAATGAGAAGTTGCAGCAGCCAGTCGTCTAAATTTCGGTCGAACACTGAAGGCGAATTGTAACGTGGGTGCGAAGTCTAATTCATATCCTAGCTTACGCTTTGCAGAACGATACAATGTGCTGCCTCTGTTTGCCGATCCTCATGGTAAGTTCAAACCAGAATCCTGCTACCGCTGCAGGATGCGGAAAGAGAAAGTTTTGACTTTTGCTACTGATTCACGGTTTGCCTCCACTTAAAATTGATCTTTATCCTCTGTCACTTTACTTTTTAATGGTCCCGCAGGTAGTCAACAGCACGCGTGCATAGGATCGTTGGAGCACCCACTTCTAGCGTCTATGTATTGATAAAAAGTTTCCGTCCTCGTTGCCACTACTATGAACCTGAATGCTCCAGTGGTGCGACAAAGTTATCTGCGTTGGCACAGTGCGGCCAGGTCTCGACTATTTGTATAGGATTTGAACAAACTTTGCCACAGGATGGTAACAGAACTCCTCTTCACGAGTTAGTAAAACTTCTGGTCAAGCCACTCTTGTGTCCAACAACCTGATCACTGGATTGCATCAGATTCAACCTTCTGCTGGTTAGGAGATTTTGTAGAACTTGATTAGATCACGACAAGTGCCGGCAACGGGTGGTTCTACTGTTTACTGTGAACAGTCAGTATAATTCAAATTATTATAAATAATTGATGGAACCTTGCAGTTTCGCTGTGACTGGATCGTTGACAAAGGTCCATAACTGCACTCAGGGCATCATGTGTCCCGATTCCCGATACAAGTAAGTGGGATATAATCTGCTTATCTTGCGGATTTTTCCTTTTGCCACGGACGAGAATAGCAATACCGCAACTGAGATCTTCATCAATCATGATCCAGGACGGGACAACGCCTCCAGTTCGTGCGTAAACATCCTCCCTGCCACCCCTGGAGGCGGGGGCCCGCCTTGCTCCTCCGATCGAGGCCCCTCAAAGCGTGGATCAGTTCCAGGCGAAACCCAGCAACAAGCAAAGACTGTTGCGGATTAGGGCTTCTCCGCCCAGCAAACCCAGCTCATCCCCTAACACTGCCAGTTACTCCTGCTTGATCAGATTCTACTGCTTTGATGGAGCCAAAGCAGAGCATCTGATGAGAACCCGATGCAGACTTGGCGTCTTGCAACTTCGGCAAGTCAGAAGTGAAGCAATAATGAAATACAGAATTTAATATCAAAGAGTTAGGTATCCTACCACACATGGTTGCAGCATGCCCCTATGAGGGTCTATTGTTTCGCACATGGCTTATTTTATGGTTCTGTGGTTCCGAGTCTGGTTCGTGGTGGTGCGGTGCATGTGAGGAGCCCCGATTTAGACAAAGGAATTAGTGTGATCGAGTTTAGTGCTCCAGCATTCGTAATGCCATGTGGCGAGTGCAGTGCTGACCGATTCGCAGCGTTAGCTTCGTTCAGAAGGAACTTGTCTGGGGAGATTGGTAATGACATGACAGAGCTATTGACTGGGTTGTTGCGCTCATCTCAATGTACAAATTTGATGAAGAAGAACCATGTGAATCTCGACGACAGATAAAAATGTGGGTGAAAAAAAGCTCGGTGTAGTGTGAAGCACGGTCTAAAAGGACCTTTCCTTGCAGATTGATTCTTTAGCCACATAGATTCTTCTTTAAATTACTCCTCGCTCATTCATGTCGTGCTGTAACCAAACTCTGAGAACTGCATGTAACTTAATACATCCAGTGTTTCGGTCGCGCTCTTCTCGAGTCCGCAGTAAATTTATTTTATTTATTTAATACTTCTTTAGATCCTGATATTGAGTGTACAATATCAGCTTTTTACCGACGGTGTCCAGTCGTGGGTGGACACACTCTGATGATTCCAGTTGGAAATTTTTGATCCAAGTGAATCTGCTGCATGAATCCACCGTGGATGCCTCGACAACGCTGAAAGCGCGCGAAGTAGAGGTTGTCGGGAACTACTTCACTCAGTCTCCGAGTATCCCCAGTTACCGCGGGTTTTGTGCAGTCAGGAACACTAACAGATGGAACAGGGTGAAAAGTTTTGGCCTCAAGCACAGCTGGGTGGAAGGTTCGTTGCCTAGTCTCTGGAAAGAACGGAAGCTTAAAGAGCCAGTCCCTTGTGTTCAGGATCTACTGAACGTCGAGATTGTGGCGGCACAAGCCAGGAGCCGGGTCCTTGCGACGGAGACTTCGATTTACAACAGCTTCTCCCTGGTCTTTCGCAACGTGAAACACACGACTTAAGACTACGGGGATCGCAACAAGTCACTTTGTCTAGATTGCTCTCCGCCACGATCATCTTAACTCAGACCGAAGCATCGGCAATGGTGTTAATGTGTAGAGTTGTAGAATGAAGCAGGAGTGACTGTAGTTGTCGTCGTCGTCGTGATTGTGGTGGTTGTTGTTTAAAATTCTTGTAGTTGAGAACTGGAGTAGCAGTTGGAGCAGTTGGGATATCTGGTGTAGGGGTGAGAATCAGGGTTGAGAGGGTAGCAGATGGCTGTGGCGATGGAGGTTGCGTGGAGGGGTGTGGAATTAGGCAGTAGCCCGGTGGTGTTGGAAATGAGCAAGAAGCGTGCGTGGGGTGCGGACACAGAAAAATTGATGCAGTTCATGATGGGCCAGTTTGGAAGCTCCTCCTCTAGCGGGGTGAAGCAGGTGGAGGTAACGCTAGATTTGCTTGGCACTGCTGCTGGTTCGTCGCCTGTCAGGGGGTCTGAATTGGACTGCAACTCCTCGGCTGAGTTTCTGGAACTAGACCCCGATCAGCCCCTCCCCGCCGACTGGGAGAAGTGCCTTGATTTGAAGGTAAGTCATGGTTTTCATTCTCATTACCGATATCCATGCTTTATTTTTATTTTTTTTAAAGCATGTATATATTTTTCCATTGTTTCTTCGTAGCTTAGAAATATGTGGACAAGGAGATTGTGACCGGGAGTGTCGAGCGAAGACCGATTAACTTCAGTAGCGGGTACTTCTGTGAATTGTACTTTGTTTATATTTGTGTAGCTTTGGTGCTACGTAAATCTGACTTTCAGGTGCTATTTTGCTCTGTGTCTACAGACAGGAGAGCTTTACTTCGTGAACAAGAGCACGGGTGTGAGGACGAGCGAGGATCCACGGAAGGTGCAACAAAGGGTCGTTGCCGTGATGACCCGAGCAGTTGACTCGGTGCCTACAGCATCACCTCTTGCGCACGAGTTTCTCGGCAGCAAGAGGTCGGAGACACTTCGTGAGGAGAGCCTAAGGACTTCGACATCTTCTGGTTCCTCGGGAGGCACAAGCCCCCGAAATACCAACATCCCAGGACACCAGCTTCTTTCTTTCTCCACTGGCAAGCAACTATGGAATTTGCAGCTGGACGACCGCAGAACTGTGAGTCTAAACAGGACCGGAAGCCCCAAGGCGCAAGCCCCACCGTTCCTCAGTTTTTCAGACGAGGAGGAATCTAACCTAGAGCTGGACTTGAACTTGGCCGCTGGCGGAAACTCCCCCCGCTTGCAGCAACATAATCAGCAACAGAGCGTCTGCACGATGGAGATGGTAGAGAAAGCTTTGAAAAGAACGGAGAAGGCTTTGGGGAAGCGAGAGATGCCGACCACCAGTTTCGGCCCTAAACAATCCGGTTCATCGTCCTTCTCTTCGCTCCCATCCGCTCGGGGCGAGTCGTGGTCGCATTCCTCTCCGTCCACCAGCAGCTCCTCTTCCACATCCTCAAGATCTGGTCATCAGGGAGCATCACATCACGACGACTCCCAGAGGTTGAGGCCCTCTGCTCCAGGGTAAGCCATCGCCACTATTCGGTTTCTCTTTTGTCATTCTCTTTTCGGTCACAGACGTGTTTTTCATAAGAGTTGTAGTGGAATCCAATGGATTCATCAAATTCCAAACCTGACGTTGCCTTTTCTTATCTTTACCAGGGTTTCTGAAGCGGAGAGTCGGAAAATTGAGACCACTGTCACTGGCGCCCTTGTGATGGGAGCGTGCACGAGGTGTCTCATGTACGTGATGCTGAACAAGAGCGACCCCAAGTGCCCGCGATGCGAGAACGAAGTGCCGCTGGACTTCAGCTCTCCGCCGTCGGGCAAGAGGCAACGAGTGGAGACTTTCAAAATTCAGATGTCGTGATCCTAGTCCATTCCATTAGCTTCTGTTAGTTATACAACAAGTAGCTTCTTAAGTTTCCTGTTCCCTTGCCACTGGAATCGTCCAGATTTCTTGTAAGAAACTCTTCGGAGAGTCTTCGTGATCGAAGCAGGAGGGAGAAGGAACTGGAGTTGGTTTGTTTCTCTGCTCGAGAACATAATTAAGGGTTCAAGAGAAAAGTGCTCTCTCCTCGTGTACATTGTAAAGTTGTAGTTAGGCTTAAAAAGAAGATACATTGCTGTCGCTGTTAAAGCAGCGGCAGGAATCTGTACCATGTTTTTATCACTCACAGTAAAAATTACTGATGCTACTAGAGAATCACCACACACAAGCCCTTGCCTATCGTTTGTGCTTTACTCCTTGCCCATGTGCTTAAGCATGTTCAGATGCCTTGGTTCTCCTTGCCTGCGTAATGCCTGGTCAGGCTGTCAAGCGCAGCTCACCTCATAGTGGATTTTAGTTTATTGCCCACCCCATTACGCTGTTCAGGAGTTCATGTCGATTTGAATCCCAGAAGGTCACTGCTAGTCAGGACGATGAGTTTCATGAGAAACTAATCAACTCTACTGCACTGAGTGTTTGAACAAGTTGCATCCAAGTCGGAGCGTAGCACCCGATTGGATCTTTGCAATCCAATCTAAGTACTGCCATTCGAGCGATTGGATTTCCAACTTTTGGAATTGTCCAGGTGAGCACCTTCCTGCAATCCAATCCGATCTCATCACCACCCATTGGGCGAGGCGGTTAGACTCGTCTTGTCCCAGGTCAAGGTTTTCTACCCGTGCATCTCTGAAGCCAAGTTTTTAAATCCCTGCAGACCATGTGTAGCACACAATGCTACACAAACTGTCTTCACTCTGATCGTCATTGCTTTTCCTTGTTGCAACTTCCCAAGGCGGTCTCGAAGAGGCAACATCTGCAAACTCGGGAGTGCATGATTGTGCAGCCAAGTCCTTTACATTAATGGACATGTATAAATATTTCTTGTAATTAACACGGCGCGACAAAGGAAGCCTCAGCTGCACACCGGTTTCAACAAGACCATAAATGCCATGACCATACTGTAGGGGGATGAGAGTACTGTATTCCCCCCTAACTAGACTGTGAGGCTTCATCCGATGGCCAGCAGCACTCCGCAGCCTTATCCAGTTTTGCTAGATCGAGGGACCCATCTATCATCAAATAGGGTCTCTCACCCTCCTCTTGTATTGATGCTTGATCGTCCCACGAGGACCCCCCCCCCCCTTTAGGACCTGCTTTGGTCGATCCAGAAAACCTTCATCACAAATGGACAAGGTACAAAAAAGAAGGGCAATTTATATTCTTTGACAGTAATTTAGTTGGATTCTGCCTCTATTTTACTGCAGTTCAGGGACCTTGTGCTTTGAAGTGAATTGAAAGACATGCACCAAAATTAGGTGTTGTGGGCTTAGAGTACAACCAAATCACCACCTTCTCCACCAATAAAGAGGTCCTCCTTTGGAAGACAAACAAAAGAAAGATCCGCTTGATGACCTGCACGGAGACAGGTGGCACTGGCAGGACTTTCGAGCCACGAAACTAGAAAAAGCTATGGTCTGAAATGAAAACATGAAAAAACACAAAAGCAGAAAAGAAAAACGGGAAAAACATATGGGAAAAAAAATATATATATATATATATATATATATAAGCAGAAGAAGGGGGACTTCAATGTGCGAGCTGCCATTTGATATTGCAAACCACGAGCATGAGTATTTCCATCCAATGTCCCTACCATTTGTCCTTATAACACGTGGATGCATGCATGAGCATTTCCATCCTTTTGTCATTCAGTGGGAGCGAGAATGTTTAGGACCCCCTTCCATGAGAAAATGATGGGAACAGGGGAGCAGCAGGGCCTCTATTATTATCCCAACTTGCCCCTCTTAACCTACAAACAGCACTAATTTCTGGTCTGCCATGGAGGAGTAGAGTAGAGTAGGCAGCACCAAGTCATAAAAGCATCTTGTGTTATGGTTTAGTTATTGTTGGAAAAACAAAGAATAAAGGAATTGACAATTGTGTAGAATTTCCACTCTTGTTATCCACTTCAGCCACCTGCACCTCATTCCTCGTCTCTTTGTCAATGTGGAATTACTTCGTCATGGAATTTTACATGAAGTTTTCGATTTTTCTTAAAACTTGTCCTCGACTATTTCACAATTAGAAATAAAAATAGAAAAATCCATGTTTCGAGCTAAGAAATTCTGTCTTTGTTTGTAACGTTTACAAATTAGAAGTGTAAAGGCGCAGCCTTTCCCAGGGTATAGGTTTAATTATAATGCTAAATATTGAACCTAAAACTGCTGCATTTAAGGAGAGTGGGCCAATATGGATGCACCAGATGGGTGCCCTCAAAGAATGTCGTGGCAACTTGTTTCTAAAACGAGAAAGTGATATCCTCATGAAATGAAAACTTGGATGGCTAGTAGGACAGCACCAATCCTAGTGTGAATACAGCAGCAGCCAGCTAGGCTCCTACGTGGAATAGAATTGCGTATTACACACTCCTTTCCCCTAACTCTTTGATGACTTCTGTGTGTGAATGGGGTAATTTTTGGCACTAGTTGTACAAGGGTGGTACAAGGGTGTAATGCTTGTACTTACTCAGTTAATGTCCTCCATGAAGCGTAAATCAAATCTGACTTCACATCAACCAAGTTGTTGATTTTCATTCACCTGTCACTAAAAAGGCCTGGAAATCAGGGTGAAGAATGTATATATAAATATATATATAGAGAGAGAGGGGGGGAGGGATGTTAAATAGACCCAGGCTCTTACTAAATTGACCCATCTATTCATTTCTACACTACTAGATCCAAAGCTAATAAAAATCAACCACATTCATCATGATTATCATATTCTTCATCAGGAGGAAGTTGATTTAGTAAAAACTTGGGTCTATTTAACATTCTCTTAAATATATATATATATATATATATATACACATAAAAGAGAACATAGGAAATGGGGTTCAATTTCTAATGAAGGTGCTCCATTGCTCACCGTCCATCATCTTGCCTTTATTCCTCCCAAACCATTGTGCAGAGGTACAGCTGATGGGTATTACAACACATGAAAGTATGAACAAATGAATGCCCTTTGCCAACACAGCAAAGTGTGGATTCTCCAGCAACTGATGAGCCACACACTCTCCTCAAAAAGAAGAGCTGCTTTTGGAGTGAGACACGGGGGTGAGTGGATGAGTACCACCAGCAGTGTGATGGGTTTTTTTGTCCAATGCTGCCCACCATGACATATGGATGGAATTATGACACTTCAACACACAACAACACAATTGAAGGTGTTGGCCCCCCTTCAACACCCCACTTGCAGGGCTCAGGAGATAGAGGATGTGGCTAGCCAAAGGCTTGGGGAGTGCAAGTTTTTGAAGGCAGACAGTGTGAAGGCTTTGTTTTCAAAGCAACACGCATCATTTTGTTTCACTAAAACCTGCTCTCTCTCTCTCTCTCTCTCTCCTCCTACTCTGCCTTGTTATTCTAATTTTATCTCCATTGATGGGTGTGTGTGTAGAAAATTGGGTATAATGGAACAGGCAGCCACACCTGGAGTGTGTGATGCCACATGCTTGGTATTGAAGAACATTGGGTCATTGCAGGTGATGCCAAATCTGCTGGCAATCTTTTTGGCATCTGTCTGCATGTATACATAATTTTGTAGTTTGTGATTTTGTAAAACTAATAATTCTGCTCCCAAGTTTTACTTTTCTTGTCAAAATTTCCTGCAGATTGTTTAAGCCACCATTTAGCCCTGCCTGAGCCTCAAATCTGCACCAATAGTGTAAAGCTTCCTGCAAGAATCTCTGCTATGGAAAAGGTAAGAAAAGGTCTGGCTTAGAAGGAGTTCTGGGGCAAAAGGTTTAAACAAGCTCATTGTATCCCCCAAAAATCACTCCCATTGATGTCTTCTTATGAAAATGCTGAAGGATGATCTATTTGTTTGTTTGTGTGCATTTATCATTTATGTGGGAAATCTGTTGCCTTAAATAAAAATTTGGTAAGAAATATAAGAAACCAAAATTTTAACACCCATGTGATACAAGAGTACTTTTAATTTATGAAGACACATAATGCATATTTATTATGGAGATTCAGACTTGGCATTTTTGGGTGATATTTCACCCGTGACGAGATGGGTGGTTTTGAAATCAAAAGAGGGGTGGGTGAAATATCAAAAACTGCATTTGATTCTCTTCCCTCTTTTATCTCCAAACTAAGGGGTAATAAAGTTTGAATCAGGGGTAATATCAGGGGAAGTTAACTTTAAACAGTGATACTTTGGATTTAATAATTTGAGTGATCCTGGAAAGATCATGTGTTGAATCCCAATTACTTGGTTTTGCAAAAGTGCCAAGTCTGAGTCCCCTTATTGTTTACAAACTAAGGTGCAAAGGGGATCACAAAATATGTTTCCATTATGCTGCACTCATCAAACTTTGAAATTTGTGTCCTACAACTTTTCTAGTCATCCAAGACTATTACCATTCTTCAAAGGAAGTTGGTACTTGGATTTGGCTGTTTTTTTTAATCTTGGTCACTGTTGTTTGGTACAATGGTTCCCATGAGAAGATAACTAAGAGATGCAACAAACCAGAATGCTTTGATGGAACTCAAGGATTCTGCAACAGTGGAATGATATGACTGGATCCTCCTAAACCTTAGTCCATAAAATGGTGTATATTAAAATTACATGTTGTTGTATATTAAAAACACTAAACTAAACTAGAAATAAAACAAACAAAGAAAACACTGTCTGCCTGATCACAAGGGAATTACTACTCAAGGCTATTCATGTTGTGTGGACAGTTTGATCTAAGGTATTAGATTTCCACTGTACAGGTATAAAAAGAAAAAACCCCAAACAAAACAAATCAGGGTGTGTGAAGTAAAATGGGGGAGGGGGTGTACTTCATAGTTGTTAAAACCTGATGGCAAATATTCTGTTTCTTCTTCTGAAGATTGTAAAATTATTGAATTTGTATTTAATAAATAAAAAAAAAGTATTCCTGGTTGTAAGTGACAAGTAAATCAAGCATTTACTACATATATGGTTGTCCCAGGAGTTTTTGTGGTAATCCTTTTCTGTTCTTTTCGTCATAATTTTTCCCTGGGAATAGATGGGCTTGTGTAAATTTATTGGGGCGAATTCAAAATTTTGATACATAGACTTCAGATGGGATCTTTTTCTCCTTACAATGAGCCACTATAACTCCCAAGAAGTAACAGTAGATATGGTAAATACGCCGATGCAGAACCCTTTAAATGCGCTCTCACTTCTTCTTAAAGA